AGGCATGTCTGAAAACATCTCGCGCATCTTACTACCCTTCAATATCCGCGTCGCCCACAAACCCATCACCACACTACGTCAGTTACTAACCAACGTTAAAGACAAAGACGAACCGAGGAACAGACAGGGAACGATTTATAAGATCAATTGTTCCGACTGCCAAGCCTCCTACATCGGTGAGACTGGCAGAAACCTCACAACAAGACTGACTGAACACAGACGGGCGACGAGGAAAGGTGATGTCAGCAATCACATTGCTGAACACCATCGACTTACCAACCACAACATTGACTGGGACTCTGCGCAATGCCTAACCTACAGCACTGACTATTTTCAACGACTGACTCTGGAAAGCTGGTTTACTAACTTAGAACAGACTCCCCTAAACAGATGTCAACAACTACCCGCTCCATACAAACGACTCATTCACGACATAAACATCACAAACGACCGAAAAAGAACGACCTAACTTTACCGACAGATCGAAACAGACCAATCACGACCGACTTACGTCACTTGAGTCTTACAGCCAATAACATCACGGCAAAACCAACCGATCATTTCACACGAACTGGAATAAGAACATTCTACTGACAACAATCATTCACTTGACTCTGATGATGACTTCGGCACAGGTTGTCGAAACGTCAGTCACTACCACCGACAACAGTCCTTCTCAGGACTACACTCACCCAGACGATCAGACTACACCTTCACATGTTACCCCCGGGTTCAAGCCATTTACTGCATTTAGGTATGTTCTTTGATCTGAGCCTTTGAAATCAGTAAGACTTGAATACAAATGTTTGAACTGTAACTTCAAATTAGAATACCTTTATTCGAATATCTTTATTCGAAAGGTATTCAAATACCTTTGATGTACAAATTCCTGAACTTGACACATCTTGGACTTCTAAATAAAAATGCTTTCTAGCTCTAACAATTAATTGAATTTAAATAATGGAGATTTCAAGATGTTTCAGTTCTGATGGCAATTGAAACATACAAAATGAAAATGATAGTTTTATTGATTTACCCCTTGATTCATTTCTGATAATACAGTATACACATCACGTAATTACATTCAATTTCAGATTGACTGAACAATCAAAATAGGAAAATTAATAGTGACAAGTGTACTACTAGTTAAGGTGTAGTGGTTTGGTGTTATTGAAACCAATCATTGTCTTCATTAAAAATAAAGCTTTGAAGCAATTTGTGACTTCTATACTTTTTCCAATAATCGCTGAGGCAATGTTCTAACTATAGCCCTTGTCAAGGAAGACTATACATCCTCAAATGGAGGTCATTTCACCCCAAGTTGTTTTGTCCCCCCAACCTGTGAGTGAGTCATGCGAGAGAATAATCAAAGAACTAGTAGATCGTTAAGAGAGAGGGGAGGGGACCAACATTCCCATCTCGGACATCCTTACTCAGATATCCTTTTCGGACGTTGTGTTTGAGGAAGTGCATCACTGAAATTTTTCGAGCGTCCCTCCCCATTTTTCCTCCCAAAATCACACACGCTGTCACGATCGATGCACCAAATCTGCTTCTCAGCGCGTCAGACTCACCTGTTTCACAGATCCCCTGACCATGGCTAGGACACGGCTCTACTTGTCAACTTCTACAAATAGCTTTTAAAGTATAATACTCCACAGGATTAAATAGTGCGAGAATAGAATACTGACTTGCAGTAACGTGTAAAGTGCACCATTTGACAGGCGCGCGAGATTCGCGCAGTCCCAGAAGCACATGCGAACTTTAATTTGTATTATCGTTATTTCTTTCATTTTGGTTACAATGAAATATATGAAGTTCATATATTTTGAACTGCGGTATTAGATACGTATGATGCACGATCCTCGCAGTAGATAGCGCTATTTAAGCAATAGCGAAAATCAGACCTGAAAAAAATCAGGCCTGTACGGGATTCGAACCACTGACCTCTGCGATACTAGTGCAGCGCTCTACCAATTGAGCTAACAAGCCAACTGGGAGCAGGCCGTTAAGTTGATTCGTAATAAACCCGTGAAAGTGATAAATCAGATACAATGAAATATATGAAGTTCATATATTTTGAACTGCGGTATTAGATACGTATGATGCACGATCCTCGCAGTAGATAGCGCTATTTAAGCAATAGCGAAAATCAGACCTGAAAAAAATCAGGCCTGTACGGGATTCGAACCACTGACCTCTGCGATACTAGTGCAGCGCTCTACCAATTGAGCTAACAAGCCAACTGGGAGCAGGCCGTTAAGTTGATTCGTAATAAACCCGTGAAAGTGATAAATCAGATACAATGAAATATATGAAGTTCATATATTTTGAACTGCGGTATTAGATACGTATGATGCACGATCCTCGCAGTAGATAGCGCTATTTAAGCAATAGCGAAAATCAGACCTGAAAAAAATCAGGCCTGTACGGGATTCGAACCACTGACCTCTGCGATACTAGTGCAGCGCTCTACCAATTGAGCTAACAAGCCAACTGGGAGCAGGCCGTTAAGTTGATTCGTAATAAACCCGTGAAAGTGATAAATCAGATACAATGAAATATATGAAGTTCATATATTTTGAACTGCGGTATTAGATACGTATGATGCACGATCCTCGCAGTAGATAGCGCTATTTAAGCAATAGCGAAAATCAGACCTGAAAAAAATCAGGCCTGTACGGGATTCGAACCACTGACCTCTGCGATACTAGTGCAGCGCTCTACCAATTGAGCTAACAAGCCAACTGGGAGCAGGCCGTTAAGTTGATTCGTAATAAACCCGTGAAAGTGATAAATCAGATACAATGAAATATATGAAGTTCATATATTTTGAACTGCGGTATTAGATACGTATGATGCACGATCCTCGCAGTAGATAGCGCTATTTAAGCAATAGCGAAAATCAGACCTGAAAAAAATCAGGCCTGTACGGGATTCGAACCACTGACCTCTGCGATACTAGTGCAGCGCTCTACCAATTGAGCTAACAAGCCAACTGGGAGCAGGCCGTTAAGTTGATTCGTAATAAACCCGTGAAAGTGATAAATCAGATACAATGAAATATATGAAGTTCATATATTTTGAACTGCGGTATTAGATACGTATGATGCACGATCCTCGCAGTAGATAGCGCTATTTAAGCAATAGCGAAAATCAGACCTGAAAAAAATCAGGCCTGTACGGGATTCGAACCACTGACCTCTGCGATACTAGTGCAGCGCTCTACCAATTGAGCTAACAAGCCAACTGGGAGCAGGCCGTTAAGTTGATTCGTAATAAACCCGTGAAAGTGATAAATCAGATACAATGAAATATATGAAGTTCATATATTTTGAACTGCGGTATTAGATACGTATGATGCACGATCCTCGCAGTAGATAGCGCTATTTAAGCAATAGCGAAAATCAGACCTGAAAAAAATCAGGCCTGTACGGGATTCGAACCACTGACCTCTGCGATACTAGTGCAGCGCTCTACCAATTGAGCTAACAAGCCAACTGGGAGCAGGCCGTTAAGTTGATTCGTAATAAACCCGTGAAAGTGATAAATCAGATACAATGAAATATATGAAGTTCATATATTTTGAACTGCGGTATTAGATACGTATGATGCACGATCCTCGCAGTAGATAGCGCTATTTAAGCAATAGCGAAAATCAGACCTGAAAAAAATCAGGCCTGTACGGGATTCGAACCACTGACCTCTGCGATACTAGTGCAGCGCTCTACCAATTGAGCTAACAAGCCAACTGGGAGCAGGCCGTNATATCATAGTGATATCATCGCTTTAACTTTTATTATAATCTTCATGAGATTAGGTATTTGTTAGATTACCGATTGTACCAAAATGACTTACGCCCAAGTGCTCTCATAATCGCAGATTTCTGTATATTATCGCACTGTAAATCGACATTAGTCATTCCGCTGAAGGTCTTCTATCTCATTGCAAGCAACTTTATTCCTCTGCTGCTCATATGAGTAACTTGTGTCATATCATACTCCGTAATGTTACTTAATGAAAATGTTCCTGAAAACTAAATCAAATCAATGGCGACTTTTCAAACCATTTTTTAACTAAAACACCTAAGGTAGCGGATTAATTCGTGGAATATTTTTGGTGATTAGCTAGCTTTGATATTTACGTTTTACGTCTCCATAATCTGGACTGGGTAGTATACATAGTGCTGATATGAAATAAAGGTAACTTGGTTTTATCGACTGAGTTGATAATGTAAATTGGCCACCGTAAAGAGTTTCAAAACTGACGTTTAAAACGTTAGTGTGTGTGTGTGTGTGTGTGTGTGTGTGTGTGTGTGTGTGTGTGTGTGTGTGTGTGTACACCTGCGGGCTTTTCTTTCCTCTGCGTTTATTAATGTTTTTACCCTAAATAAGGGGGTGCTGCGGGCGGCCCCCCAGAGCTCTCCCCTATATCTGCCACTTCGAACATTTGAGTAACTTCTCGGGGTGTTTCTAAATATGCAAATTGATGTCCTTCGGTTACACTTGTTCCCAGGGCCTTATCGAGACTTCACGATACTCACTCGTGATCGATCGAGTGAATCGTGACTCATTTCGATTTCCTGGATATGACAGGATATCGATCGTTTTGAAGAGCAGTTCCTCTTTTACTCGAATATTTGCGTTGTCAGACAAGATTTGTGTAGAGATTTAGTGAAATATTAAGGTTTTGTGCTTGGAAGATCTCATTCAGAATGAGACTGCCGCTAAATGCAGTAATTTTCTTAACTTTGGGCCTTGGCAAGTTATCCTTCACATCATCGAGTGAGAACAAGACGCAGACGCAAAAACTTACCTTTGGTATGTCATTTACAAACTTTGTTCAAAGAAGCATGTGACTTCGTTCTAATCTACTATTAGTGTCGTTTCGAGGCAAACGTTTTCACTCTCAGAGAGCCGCCTAGCAGTTTCGCTTTACTTATCTCAGCGTGACAAACAAAACTCAGCACGGTCAAATATTTCTCGCATTACTACTCTTTTAAACATGGTTCACCGCAGGACTTTTTCATCGTTACTTCATCACTTGAGTCTTTCTCTATTCGAACGTATTTTTAAGCCTAACCCGAGAGAGAGAGAAGAACTTAAAAGTATCCAAATTCCACGCGTGCACGGCAACGACCGAACGACTGTCACGCAAGTTATTGCCTTTCGGTGCATAATTTGTTCCAGGCCGTCGTAAATACGTTGAGGAGAAGATGTACCGACGCGGCGAAAAAACATTTCATGAAAAAAAGGGAATGATTGCATGAAAAATTTAGATTGCGTGAAAATGAGGCGTTTTTTATTCTGAAAGCTCACAATTTCGTCATTGTTTGGCTCTTGGAATAGATTATGCATGTCTACAGGAAAATATCGGTATATTTTTTTATCCAAATGAAGGCCTTTCTTTGTTTGAAAAATGTCCACGTTAAGATTGCCTGCAGAGTGAAAATGAAAGACGACTTTTATAAACTTGTCATTTTCTCTTGTTTTCTCTCAGAGAAAGTGAAAAAGAATATCGGTATATTTCTCAGTCAACCTGGTGCGAGTGAAAGGTTTGGCAATATGACTCTGTCAGAGTAAGTTTCACTGAATTATTACGTAGACACTGACAAAGTAGGGTTTTATAAAAGGGTAAAAATATCATTTCGAATAATGGGCGATTGGGTATGTTGATGTTATGTTGACACTACTGTGCAACATTTGAGGGAACAAAGATCGCTGTGCTTTGCTGGCACTGCACTATAACACCACACATGCCACATAGTGCTCGCAAAGTATATAGTCAAGGTTCATAATTTCTTTGGGGGGGGGGGAGGAATTTGTTTTAATTTTTTGTGTGTGTTCAGTAGCTTATACAACTTGACAACTAAAGTAGCAGGCTTTAATCATGCTAAGCTGATTAGTGATGCAGAATTGCACATGAATCAGAAAAACTGATAGACCACGCCTGTCCACTGACTTTTTACTGCCAGCTACGCTAAGAATTTCTGCCTTCGTAAATCATCCTAGATGACTTAGTTTACGCCATAAACTAAGTCAGTTTTGATGTACTTTTTGAATCAGTCTTTACAGTGTCATTTCTTATCTAGGTTGTTACTGTCATTTGGTGATAACTAAGCCAATGTAATCACTTAATTTGGAATTTTCTTTCTTTATATGGAATGAAGGTTTGCAGAGTTTCAGCAGTCAAAGGAAAACCAAGAAGATGCAAGAAAACCTTCGTCAAGAAAAAAAAAACAGAAAATAACTGCACAAATACCAACAGTGATGTCAAAATCGACAATGGCAACACCAACTCCAGAAACAACGACTAGAAAATCTACGATTACAGAACCAGCAATCATTACGAAACCATCGACTAAAAAATCAACGAATGCTAAACAAACGACTACAAAATCTACGACTACAGAATCAACAACTACGAAATCTATGACAACAAAATCTACAACTCCAAAATCTACGACTACAGCATCTACTGCTACAATACCAGCGACCAACAAGCCAACGGCTAAACCAGAAGTAACTAAAACAACAAAGGCTTCACAATTAACAATATCAGAACCGACTGCCAAACTAACAACTACAAATCCAACGACTAAAGCCGGAACTAAAGCAAAGGCAGCAACCACGAAACCATCGACTAAAAAATCAACGATTGCTGAACAAAAGACTGCAAAAGAAACGACTACTAATCAAACGACTGCAACGGCAAAGAATGCAGAAGCAACTGCTACAAAACCTGTGATTACAAATGAAACGAATGAAACAGAACCGACCACTGTTTCAAGTAAAGGTGCAGATAAGAGCAATTCAACTCTGGAAAATAGTGGAGGTATGAATCCAAAAGTAATCTTTGCTTCCACAATACTGGGGCAATTACTTATTACTTGGAATACTTTTAAGAAGGTTTTCTAAAAAAAACGTCCACTCGCACCGTGACCCGCCAGTTAAAATGACTGTGAAATAAAGCCTCTTGGACCCCATTTGTATGGTCCCGAGTACCCGAGACAACCCTCCCCTCCCCCCATCACAACCTTACGGAACGTTTATATGAAATTCGACAAAGTGGCGAACGACAGGAAGATAGTAGCTGTAAAGGCATGGGCTCTGGTTATATCGTGCGCTCGCATTTTCTGTTCAAGTTGTCTTGTCTCGTGTGGGCGAGACAAGGTGTTTGCATAAGAAAAAGTTGCCCCACCTGCTTGGATTACCCTACATGCTGAGGTGAGACAACTCCT